GAAGAAGGAGAAGGAGAAGGAGAAGGAGAAGGAGAAGGAGAAGGAGAAGGAGAAGGAGAAGGAGAAGGAGAAGGAGAAGGAGAAGGAGAAGGAGGAGAAGGTTATTTTAAATCCACAGAGCCATGTGTAACAGGCGGCCGGGCTGCCCACTCGGGATAAATTCTGGCAATCAAGGAGCGATTCCCGTTTACTCTTTTAGTTCCAGATCTCATTGCTCCACGTTGTGAGATTATGTGTCGTTTACGCTGTAACGTCAATGACAGGTGTCACAAAAATAATTAAATGAGAATCGTTTCCCTTTTGAGGATGGAACCCAGGCATGCCTGCAAATCACTGCACTCCTCAACCTGGTGGAAATACCAGTGTGCCTGGGGTTGTCCAAGAAGGCATTATGGGCTTAGGGTGTCACAGTGGAGACAGTACGCTGGGCAACCAGCAGCGTCCCTGCCCGAGAAAGGAGAAAAGGGACAGGGGGCAAGCCTGGGCCGAACTCTTTAAGACTTCAATGTCCGTAACGAATCAGGGACAGTTCAATGCCAGAGCTGGTTCGGGCCACTTCCTTCCACAACTCACACAATGCCATCCCATTCCCAGCTCCCATCCCAGAAAGTTACCACCGAGTGGCCAGAGGGTCTCTGAGGATCCATTTCAGCTCGCAGTAAAAGGAGGTCCCAGAAACATTCTGTCTAGTCAGCTGCGGACTCCCAGCACCGAACTCACGTTGAGCACTTCCGTAAGAGAACGGAGGAAGAGCCCGCCTCCCTTGACCCACCTGATTGGGTAGTTCAGCCAGCCCGCACCTTTGATTGGCTCCTGGGCCTGTCTCCTAACACGTCACTCTCATCTAGCATGACTTATGCTTGCAATCAAGAACTCTGCTCCCTAATATTCAGAGCTGTGGTGTATTTAAAGGACTGAGCATGCTCTCCGCAAGATTAATCAGCAGTGTGTGCTCACAAGGTTACTCGAGGAATGTCCTAAGGAAAAGCCAATCACTTGAAGACCGTTATTACAAGTCCGGGTCAGCTCAGGACAAATTGGAATGGGTGGAGCCTGCCACTGGGAAAGAGGCCATAGGCTTTATTACTAGGATTTTTCTTTTTCTTTTTTTCTTCTGCTTTTTTTTTTGTTAGGGTCTTGAGGAACCGGGGATTGAACTCAGGTCCTTGCCCTTGCCAGGGAAGCGCTTATTCTACTGAGCCATCTCCTCGCCCCCTCCCTTCTTTTTTAAGATTTTCACATAAGCTGTCTACTTAAGTTTTCATTCAACTTAATTTCTGTATACGCAACAAGAGGAATACATTGTTGTGTAAATGGCAACAGATTTCTGCTGAAGAGTTAAAGATGACAGAAAAGCGAGTGTGGTGGCACATGCCTGTAACCACAGCACTGCAGAGGCTGAGGTTGTGAGTTCAGGACCAACCTGGGCTGCATAGTGAGTTCAAGACCAGCCTAAACTCCATAGCGAGACCCTATTTCAAAAAAAAAAAAAAAAAAAAGGAAAGAGAATGAAAACATTCTGACTCCTTTCACAAGCATCAAACTTTGTCATAAAAAGTAACTAAATTCCGAAGACCATCATAGTCAAGCATGAGGTCCATAATGATTACTGAAACAGAGACCCACACTTGATTACTTCCTGGTAATAAGTTTTGAATACAAAAAGACTTTAGACTAAGTAAAAAATATTCTTGCTTCGTGTATATATTTCTACTCTGGGGTCACTCTTTTACTGCATTATCCCATTTTCTTAATTGTTAACACAACCTTGAATCTAAGGTACCTTTTAACCAACGCATAAATTTCAGATGTAAGACGCAACAGGAAGAAACTGAATGAAGCTCACATAGGAATTTGTAGGTTAGCAATTGGACAAGTGTTGGGATCTTGGGGTGATACAGGGAGAAAAACTGGTCTCAGGTGGGTGACCTCCAAACAATATAGGGAACCTCCAAATGGCAGGGAAAAACCGTCTCTGGACCTGACCTGCATGAGTTCGTATTCTCTAAAACTGAAGAATGAATTTCAGGAACAAACAGAGGTTATGAGTAGAATATATCTATTGAGAGAAAGAAAGCTCCTGTCCTGAGAAAGAGGGACAGAAGAAAGGACCCCGAGCGGGTAGTTTCTGCCGCCTCCCCCCCCAGGAAGTTGTCTCTTGCAGGGACTTTTATAGAGGAAAACCGTGTGGTGAGGCCGGTCTAAGGTGGTGGAGAAGACATGGGAACTTGTTTAGTTGGGCATGAGGTGGGACCAAACTATGGTCAACCAGTGACATTTACAAGAAGCATTGCTCAGATAAAATTGATTAAATCCCAGGCCAGGGAGATGGCTCAATGGAATAAGTGCTTCCCTGGCAAGCACAAGGGCCTGAGTTCAATCCCTGATTCCAAAAAGAAAAAATAAATTAATAATAATAATAATAATAATAATAATAATAATTTTTGATTAAATCCAGTATCAAATGGGAAAGTAAGTCACATAGCAAGCGGGGGACAAATATGGAACAGGGTCTCTTCCTGTTGGTGGTTGGACTAGTGACTCATTTGGGCTCATTAAAGTTGATTGATACTATTTAGGATATGAATCCCTAATGCCCATCCCTAGGGAAGTATGCAGCTGTGCTTCCTCTTTTTGTCTTGGTCTTGAGGTGTGGCCCATATGGGAGTGTCTCTCTCTGCTAAATTGCAAAGTTACCTTGTCTTCCATCTTGTTTCCTTGAGAGCCTGGCCGGCTAACTGCCCATAATATTTCCATCTAACTCGGTGCCTGCAACAGGGGCTTGGCACCAATTCCAGAGAAAGGGCTTTTTGACACTTAATGAAAGCAGCCAGGAACAAAGGTCCTCAGTTATCTGGGTCTGGACCCACTTCCTTCCTGATGAGTTAGAATTATTGCAGGCAGTCAGACAGGGCTAAGCCCGCAAGGAGATGGCATGGAAGACAAGATACCTCGCTGCTGCAGGAGAGACAGGCGCTCCACTCAGGCCAGACCTCCAGACAAAAGATTGAACAAATGCAACCACATATCTCCCTCGGGATAGCCATCAGGGATTGATATTCGAAATACATATCAATCACTTTGAAAGAGCCAGGAAGAGTCTTACCCAACTGTCTAGAGGAAAAGCCTTTGTTTTGTATCCATTCCACTTGCTACAGGACTTGCTTTCCCATTTGATCACAATTTAATCAATGTTACCTAAGCAGTTGTTATCTTCTTTTTTTTTTTTTTTTTTTTCTTCATTTGTGTATTTGGTACAGAATCTCACTACACAGCTCAAACTTGGACTCCTAGAGATCCTCCTGTTTTCGGCCTCCACAGTGCTGGGGTTACAGGAGTGCACCACCAGGCCCAAACTCAATCACACCGAACTCAGTGCACCCTAGGGGCAGGCTGGCTCATATACAGGAGCAGGGATGAACCCTGGTCCCTGTGCTTGCCAAAGCAGGAGCTTACCCTCTGAGCTAACTCACCAGCCCTTTTCCTAAGCAATTGTACTTGTAATCTTTTTTTTTTTTTCAAATTTTTTTATTTGTGTGTGTGTGTGTGTGTGTGTGTGTGTGTGTGTGGCCAGCTCAGCCCACCAGGAGGCGGGGCTGGCTGGCATGTGGTGCTGAGGGATTGAATCGCGGTCCCTGTGATTTGCTAAGCTTGTTCTAAGTAGGTGCTTTAGACCACTGAGCCATCTCACCAGCCCCAAAGGGGCGCTTTATGTTATTTTATTTTATTTTTTAATTATTTTTTTTTTTTTTTGGCAGAACCAGGGATTGAACTCAGATCCTTGTGCTTGCCAGAGAAGTGCTTATTCCACTGAGCCATCTCCCCAGCCCCTGTACTTGTAATCTTATTGGTTGGCCATAGTTTTGTCCCACCTCAAGTGCGAGTTACCATGTTTTCCACCTTAGACCCTCATCTCATTGTTTTGTTCTAGGAAACTTCCTAGAAAAAGCCAATTCCTGGGCAACTCCCTCGGACTCCCTTGTCTCCCTCACTTGGACGGAAGCTTTCTTTCCCCCAATCAGTATATTCTGCTTTTAACCACCATGTCCCTATAATTCATTCTTTGGCTTTAGAGAAGTAGAACTCACCTCACGTCCCTTTAAGATGGAAGTTTCACTCCCTTATATCACTTTCTGAAGCTCAGACCACGGAGGAAATGTGGGACAGAGCACAGGAGCTGACCTAATAGTGGTAAAGAAGTAGAGTGAGACAGGAGGGGGCTACATCCAAGGGGCAGAGCCCAAAGACAAACTGTGTGTCTGTGCTATGTACGGGGATCCCACAACCCCACCAGGAGGCCTCCCCATTCCTTCCCTACACAGCCCTTCTCTGTGTCATGGAGCCACTTATCCCCTCTATGCCTCTAAAGTTCAAATCCACTCCAACTCCTCAGGGTTGATTCTGTCTCCATGAACACTGAACTCACTCCCTGTGTCTTGTACAAAGGCACATCCTAGAGTCCCACGGTGCAGCTGCAGCAGGACTGGTCTCTGGAGCTGAAGGCTTTGCATTGAGCTCAAAGATCGCAGTAAGCAACACCTCGAGCATCTGTGTTTCATTCCAACTCTAGAAATTGGTCAAGAGTAACAAGTAGGGGGCCAGGGATACAGCTCAGTGACTCAATTTTTGCCAGGCAAGTGCAAGATCCTCTTTGCAGGCACTTTAATCCACTGAGCTACTCATATTTATTGTTTTCCTCTGACACTTACATATCCTTGTTATAATGTGAACAAATTAAATTCTCACATATACACTTAGTGTTTTCCAGTAGCTTGTGATTTGCCTTTGCATTACATTCTCGTAGTTTTTTTTAAGTTGCAGTAGTTGTGTTTCAAGGCTGTTCATGTTTGGGTGTGTACTGTGTTTTCCTGTAAATTTTGAGATTCATTGTACATTATAAGTTGGAACCGAAAGAAATGACCAGAAGACCCGATGAATATAGCCTCAGAGGTCTCCCTGAGATCAGTCTCTTTCTGTGTGAGCTCAGAGCCACAGACACATCTCACATTTATTGAGGACTAAAAGCAGGCTAAGGAATGTGCAGAACTACTTTTCTGGAACACAAACTACTCTCTCTGCTGCCTTTAAGCATTTACCTAACTCTAAGTTTACACAGTGCTCGCTGACGACATCCCAAGCAAGGGATCAAAGACCAGACAGGGCGCCAGCAGGAGAAGCTGTTATCTGCAGCTCTGAATCCCAGCTTGCCTGAATTTACAAGTGAGATTACAGTTCTGCTTGGGCTCTGTTTATTGCTCTTTGCTCCCTCGGGACATCAGGCTTCAGTCTCATATCTATATATTTTTTATATCTATATTTCTATAAGGATTTTTTGCATTTCAGTGAAATACGACTAGGATGTATCTTTATAGATCCCATGCATATATAGATGGCCTTGGTTTTTGTTGTAGTCTCAACTTTATCTTTCATTTTGGTCCCCAGGATGTTGGAGGTGTTGGGGCCTTTGGGGGGGGCTCCATGTCAGGAACGGGGTGCCTCGTAAGGGTACATTAGGACCAGAGCCAGAAACTAATTATCAGTTTTATAGTGCCCTATAAAGCTGAGCTAAAGGAAAATGCTCATGTTTTAGATTTGCTTAATTCAGACACTGATTACAGCAACATGTAGCTGACAAAAATAGTGTGCATATAGAATTATTAAATTTTCACTCAGAAACACAATACATCTTTCAAACCCTTTGGTTATTTTTCAGAACACTTGACCAATTCT